ATAGATAGATAGATAGATAGATAGATAGATAGATAGATAGATAGATAGATAGATAGATAGATAGATAGATAGATAGATAGATAGATAAAACTGTCGTCTTAAAATGGCTCTCACCTCACAAATTTTGAACCAATTTAAATGAACAACTTTTTTTAGAAACCTCACGTCATCACTAATTTTGTGTTTCACAATTACCAACAAATTATAACTTTACTATGTTATTTATGTTGATTGTGCTTCTGGCTGTAGCTTTCTGTGCTTGAAGAAAACCACAAGGTTAATAATAATAATTGGCAATGAAATGCAATAAAAACCATCTGAAAACACGTTTAAAATACTATATTAGTCTAAATCTTCTCAAACTAAGTGGGATAATCTGTCAGTGCAGTAAGACAGATGGATTTGGTACTTCTTGGAAAAAGGATAAACTTCCAGGCTAATAGGATTAATACGCTAACACATTCTGCTGATCAGTCTCAAAACAACATCAAAAATACTAGTTTGGCTGGAAATAAGATTGTAAGGTTTGGTTAGATATACAATTTTTGAGGTGTCAAGGTGTATAAAATAACAGTTTTCGTGAACCGCTTGTTTAGATTTTAATTTTTTTCTTCAAGATGGCAGCAAAAACACTTTGTTCGTGGCCTCACTCAGACATTTGTTCATCAGTCCTGTCTGGCTCTGTTTCTACATCAGAGCTCTTCCACCCTGTTCCTCGGGGCTCACTATCATGCATGTTAGATGTTTCGCTGCTTCAACACACCTGACTGAAGTGAACGAATGATGGACAGGCTTCTGCTAAACAAGATGACGCTCTGAGTGGGTAATTTAATCATTTGAATCAGGTGTGATGAAGCAGGGAAACAGCTAAACAAGCAGGACAGTGGGTCATGAGAAACAGGGTTGAAGACCTTTGCTCTGCGTTAAAGTCATCCAGAGAGCCACCTGCAACAGGTAAGATAGTAATTCTTTATAATCTTTCCATAGATCTGAAGATCTGAGCATTCCGAAGAGTAAAACAAACAAATTGTGATTAAAAATAGTTTTAATTTGAATGTAATGCCAGAAAAACAAAAAAGGATTTTTATATTTCTTCTTTTTTCTGGGAGAGAAATAAGGGAAGTGAGTTGTTTTTGGTTTAGAAAGTGAAATCAAACCCATTTCTTTATTGTTGTGATAAATTCCTCTTCTGATTACAGAAGTGGACACAGCTGCCTTTTATAAGCCGCCATTAGTTCATGCTTTGGTCCGTCTGTGACTGTTTGTTTGTTTGTTAACTTGAGGTTCTGCAGGATTTCAGAGCTGCTTCTGCTCTTTGTTTTCCTTCAGCAGCCAAAGTTTTCTTCTCGCCTCTTGGAAGCTTTCCCGTCTGACATCTCCCCAGCTCTTAGCAAAAATCCTTTGTTCCAGTTAATTTGACCAGTTTTGTAGAAAAGCTGCGCTTCCTGTTACGTGCCAGCACTTGGAGACTTTTCAGTAATTGTGACACTGATGTGATCTCAGCTGGTCAACGGTTAAAAACCCTTTAAAGCCTTTTTCATTAAGCTACATGTTGCTGGATGACAGGTTTGGACAGGATGCGGGTCAGCTGAGGTTAGCAGTGCTGTTATGGTACTGAAGGAAAAATATGAAGAACGTCTGGGTGGCAGCGAATGTTGCTCCACACCTGTCATTGAGTATTAATGGTAGGCCTACTGTCACCTTTGTTTGCTTTGGAGGATTTAATGAACTGTTCAGTGTTTTTCAGAAATGAGTGCAGTAATATTCTGTTTTCAGTGCAGATCTAAACCTGAAAAACACGGCAGGACTTTTCTTTGAAACCTTGTATGTTAGGTACTGATGAATAACATGGAAATCCTGACATATTTTATGTTTTTATCTTGAAAATATGATTCTGGATGTTTTCACTTTCCTAAAATTTAGCAACAATGATGTACAACTGTTTTTGAGTTTGTATTTTTGTTTCAGGCATGAATCCTTTAAGAAAAAAACATGTCCTGCTTTATTAATGCTTTTGTACTGTTTTCAGTATGATACAGACAATTCTCTCATCAGGGTTGTGATCTGAAATAAGAAAAAAAAAAGAAAGTTACAAAGTTGGGTTAGTGTTGAAGGTCAGGATCATTGAGATCTTGGACAAACTTTTGTGAGAATTTCTGGGAAAAGAAGAAACAACAATAAATAAACTTGAAACTCAACTTTCCAGTCATAATAGCCTGATCTCATAACCTAAACATAACCACCCCAGTAGACACCTGACCCTAAATCACACCATGGTCCTAAACCTAAATCCCCACCCCACCCAAAATCAGCATCTATGGGTCCAGGCTTTGTTCCCCATCAAAAGCATTGGGTCCCCATAAGGCTGTGTTTTATTTATTCATTTATTTTTATTTTTTTGGAAAACACAGCTATCTTTATGAGGACATTGAATTGAATTTAAACTTAAGCCCCAACCCACCAATGACATTCCCCCCATGGGGACTAGAGTTAGGTCCCCATAAGATGCCCACAAGTAGGGGTGTGTGCCAAAAATTGTCCCCACATAGGGAATACACACACACACACACACACACACACACACACACACACACACACACACACAC